AATATATGCTGATTTAATCGCAAAGAAATCACATATATCAGGATGTTCTTGGGGGAAGAAAAACCAAAACATTATCGTGGCACGTCAGTGAAGCACTGATTAAAGAGATCTAAAGATGGCATTACATTTTTTTATTGAAATTAAACTTATCAGTTAGTTTAAAATGTGGCCAGAATAGATCATTAAATAATAATAAAGGGAGAGCCGATCTTTAAACGGGGCGTGGATGAATGGTGATTAGATGCAATGACGAAAGATATGGAGTTATGTCAGAGACATCGAAGATGGGCCAATGCTTAACACATCACCTTTTATAATATAAGCGAACTTAAGAACAAAAGCTCCTTGCATTGCGAACAACTAGTGCTGTTGCAGGCGAGCACGAGGGTGGGACGGTCGTGGTATTTAGGGGCGGGTGGCTCCCTTGGCGTGAAAGACAAGGAGTGCCCAATACTCTTTCGTCAGGCAAATAGGCTTAATATGTTATAGCATGTGGGAATAATTGCGATGGTATTAGTCCCACATCGGCCAGACCCTCATTCATTAGGAGAGAGCCTGGTCACCGTACTATTCCATTAACAGAGAAGGGAACCCACTCAAAAAATCGAAGGTCGGAAGATTTCCACATGAGTTACCGATGGGAAGCAGCACCTGGTTTGCTTACACGTTCAGTTAAGCAAACATAACAGAGCGGCGGTGAATTTTCACCCGCCGAGGGGACCGAGAGAGGTTCAGACCTGTACTCCTAACGCTTTCCACCACATTAATACATCGACGTACTTGTCAAGGACATTAGGTATGATGAAGTTTGACTCATTTTGCGAGCGTAGACTGTCATTGGGTGTCGTTCAAAAGAGACAAACCATTATAGAGATGGACAGTATTAATGACCAACAGGCAGCGTTAAACCGATGTCTATTTAAATTAATCATCTAGGTTGCGTTAATTACCATCTAAATCATATAAATCCTAACACATCTATCTAATCTAACCAAGTTGAAATATTCCTGAACCTCGAAGCCAAATTTACTTAATTTGCCAAATAAAGAAGTAGAGAATAATCACTAACCAATTACATTACATCAGAATTAAATTACCCATTAAATTATAATTAATTTTAGTATTTTTCTTTTAACATTATAGTCACGTATGATCATATAATTATATAATAAATATAAGCCAACTAGAACTATAATAAATAAAATTTAGACATATAAGATTTAAACTATAACCTTTATAATGATACTAATTATTAGCTATATAGAAGGGAATATTACCCTAGCAAAAGGACAAATTTGTTTTTCTCAACTGCCAAAGCAACCAAAGTGTTCTCCCTCCCTCTTTGACACAGGGGCGCAAGAATCGGGGAGAGCTAGGAAAACTACAAAAGCACACCAGCCGAAAACGACCTTGGCCCATCTACGTTGAGAGAAGCCCCCTCACAATAGGATGGCCAATGGAATCTCCAGGAATGTAAAAACTACCGCGTGAAGCAAAACATTGCAACACGAGTGAAGGCCGAATCCTAGAGACAAGTAGCCTAGAGGGGGGTAGGCCATGAGAGTGGGTGGCACTAGCGGAACCGACTTGCAGCAAAACAACAGATTTAAAATCAGGCTAAAGAAAAATCCACAGCATAATCAGCCAGAGTCAAGGGTAGAAAGTTTCATTGGGGGGAAAGAAAAAACCAAAACATTTATACTCCCCATGGGGCACGTAAGTCCTGACCCAAAACCATGCGCTGGCGAACGACGCTGATATTAATATGAGAGACCCTCAAAAGATTGTGCCCGGTCATTATGGATATAGGCTCCTTTTTATTTGAAATTAAACTTATGTCAAGTTAAGTTTAAATATGTGCCAGAATAAGAATTCATTCATAAATATCCCTTGATTAAAATAAAATTCCCAGGAAAAGAATACTAAATCAACTGCTATATTTCTTTTTTAACGCTTTAATAACAAATCTTAAAATTAATGTGTTAAATTTGATCCATGGGCTGCCCTGCAGCATTTGCAGTCCCTTTCTTAATCTTATTATTATCTTCCTTCTTGAATCTTAATCCCGTTACGTGAAACTTATCAAATATTCCAAACACTTACATTCACATTTTC